TCGCAGGATCGGCCGTTTCAACCTCCTCGGCAAGCCTCCGAAAATAATCATGATCAGTCCATCCACTCGCCGATGCACTCTGCTGACCTGTCCGTACCGAAAATTTAAAGAATTATACAATATGCTCTATCAAAATTTCTATAAATGAATCAATACGTGGAGTTAAAAAAAAATTAAACAAAATTTAGGAGAAAAAAAAATGTTGAGCATGATGTTCTATAGATTTATTAATCTCGCAACTATACCTGGCTGTAAGTTGTGGATGTCGACGGTCGTAATATTTCTACGTACAGTGTGTGCCTCCCTTAGCTCACAGGCACAAGGAAGTCCATGAGTGTTAGTGCACAATCGCAGTGCTCCGAAACATCTTTGCCGAAGTCTCGCATGTTCTGAAGCTCATCATTCAATATATACATACAGTAATGCGAGACCCACAGTGTCAACTGCTCGAAAGGGAATCCCCTGTATCCCGTACTCATCCTAAGTCTCGAAGACTCCAGCATCTCCCTGGTAATACATTACATAACATTCGACCCAATTAAAATTTATAATTAATGCATTAATAACACAGTCTTACTGCATAAATTAAAGACTATACCTGACTTTAGTCAGTTGAGAATCAATCTCCTTGTCATCTTCTACCAAACAGTGTCGAGCGAACCGGTCGACGTGTTAAGCCACCGCTTCAACGTAGCGTGGGAACTCCCCACCCTACACGACGTTGTGTTGCCAAAATGTAAGACAGTGTCCATCCACACTTTGACAAACTTCTCCTTGTGCACTAGCCATGTCTGATCCACATATTCCAGCACACGAGGAAACGCCGCGTATGTAACAGCCAAATCAGTTACGGCAGTTTTGTATTTGTCCCACGTGTTCGCCTCGACAACCTTCTTCCACTTGCCGTGAGTGAACTTCTGCGCGAAGATCTTATTTTTATTTGTGCTTGTCGACGTTAATCGATAGACCCTGTCTTCCACATCCTTGTTGATGTGCCACGTGTAGACTAAGTGGGGCGCCGTCGAAAAATTCCTCTGAATAGGAGTGATCAACCCCAACTCCCTGTCACTGACAATGACTGTAGGATGTACATCAGGCCCTATCAGAAGTCTCAACCGCTGTAGGACCCAGTCATAGCTGTACTCGGTCTCGTCCTTGATAATTGCATAAGCAATTAAGAAATTCTTGTTGCACGGCGTCATTCCAACCATCTCAACCAACGGCATGTGGTACCTGTGCAAACGAAAGCAACAAGAAGAAAAAACATAGAATCAAAAAACTTACTCAAACATACTATTTTAAGATTCACATTATATTACTATTTATAACGTAATGTAACATACCTGTTGGTTTTGTACGTGGAATCTATACCGACATACCAGTAATATGTCCGGAATAGACTGGCTGCTGCTGGATGCGACATGAACACACGTGTCAACTCCTGTGTGTCCGGGTCAACATTTGTGTAAACTATGTAGTTGCTGCCCCTAGCCAAATGCAGAAGCTGGCCAACAATATCTCTACCCTCCAGACGGTCTTTTCACAATTGACCTCTATAGTTATACACTTGTCGGCAAGTAGCGTTGTCCACTGGGTTTTTCTCCTGAATTGCAGCCAATATTATTCCCGGTCTTGCCTGAGCATCAGTCATATCACGGACAATCTCTTTGGATGAATCGCTGAGTCGGCTCATCTGTCGATGACCCTCGGGATGCACAG